TCTTCAGTATACCCTGATGCTTGGAAAATAGCCCGAGTCCAACCGATTCCCAAAGGAGGGGATACAGCGCCATAATGAAAAAAAAATACATACCCGTGTTTATACTGCCGATTTTATCTAAAATAATTGGAAGGGCCGTTTATTTAAATATCTTTGAATATTTGTCGCGGCATAATCTACCAATTTGGATTTCGTCCTAAGCACTCGTGCGAAACAGCCCTATTATGCATGGTTAACCAGTGGTCAGACAATGTAGACAAATGGTATTTGAATGGTGTAGCTTTGATAGATCTTCGACGTGCATTAGATACGGTCAACCACTCTCTCCTCTTAAATAGATTACATTAATATGGTTGCTCCCCGAATGTAATTAAATGGTTTCAATCATACTTGAAAAATTGCCAACAATTTGTCTCATTAGGTAAAGAAAAATCAACATTTAGAAATATAACAATGGGAGGTTCCACAAGGGTCCATCCTGGCCCCGCTCCTTTTTACTCTGTTTGTTAATGACATCCCATGTTCCATCTCAAATGGCATTGTTTATATGTATGCAGATGATACTACTATCTCTAAAAACTAAGCAAGAGGTAGAACTCAAACTGCCAAAAGCTTTTGGTGAACTGAATTCTTGGCTGAATAAAAATAAGTTGATGTTGAATAGTGATAAGACACTAAGATAACAGTATGCTGTCGATTGAATTAAATGGATTCCAATTGAAATGTGTATATGCAAATAAATGTTTGGTAGTTATAATAATTGATAACAGTCTTAACTTTAACAAACATATCGAAAGTATTGCGTTAATTGTGAAACATAAATTAGGAACTATTCGTCGATGTAAACATTATTTTGATAAAGCACAATTCCGTTTGGTCGGGTAGATCTGAATCAAATCATAGTAAACTGGAAAGATTTCTCTTGTTGGTTTGTTATTGTGGTTGTTGCTGTTGTTTATAATTTGTATTTGTAACTGTTTGCTTCAATTCGGATATATGGCATTTACATATTTGATTCATACTCATTTCGTATTCTCTATGTTCAAATCTTTATTTATAACCTGGTGTGCAATTTTTTTAAAGTCGTATTTTGAAAATTTCTATATTTATTTATATTTTGATGTGTTGAAATGTATATACTTGTTTGTGTCATGAAGGGCCTGAACGAGAATCAGTATTTATTTGTTGATTGGGCTACCCTTCGTTTTAAAGATGTGTAATAAATAAATAAAACCTTATGAACATGGGCAAATCCAAAATGGCCGCCATCTGAGTTAGTTTATTTGGTAATAGGGTTTTCGGGTCAGAGGATCTGATTATGATGTTCTTGTATCAGTTACAGGTCTCATTGGGGCTGTCATGCTGGTTATATTGACCAAATAAAAAATGGCCGCCATCCGAGTTAAAGGTCAAGTGTAGTTCCAAAAGAAAACGGGCTAGTATGATAAAAGTTGATAAATTCATGGGGTTTCCGAGGTCGGATAATCTGATTATGATGGTCTTTTATCAAGTTTATGTCACCATCCTGCCCTAAGGCTACAATGAAGTCCACTTCCCGGTTGAAGAAGATAAGGGAAGATGCGCCAAACTCACACTTGAGTGGGTTAATGACGACACCGTATTTCGAGAGTCGTGAGAACATTTGCTAGTTGGAGGTGTTGAATATGTTCCTCTTAGGTCCTGTCTCACTCGCGATGAGGAGGTCGTCGATGTACGGATCGCATACATCATTAATTGATTGTACATTTGTTGTGATCTGTCTAAATATACACCATTTTAATGATCTGAAATTGTCCTTGTCTGATTTCGCAGTTCAAATTAAATTGGGAATGTGTTGGGAAAAAAACGTGATTTTACCTTTTTTGGCGAATGTTTAAATTTTCGAGGGCCAAAACAAAAATGTGCTAAAAAAAGAACAAAGGGGGAGGGGAAAAAAGAGAGGGAAAAAAGAGAGGGAAAAAAAGAGAGGGAAAAAAGAGAGGGAAAAAAGAGAGGGAAAAAAAAGAGGGAAAGGGAAAGAAAAGAAAAAAAGGGAAAGGAAAAGAAAAGAAAGAAAGGAAAAGAAAGGAAAGAAAGGAAAAGAAAGGAAAAGAAAGGAAAAAAAAGAAAAAAGAAAAAGAGGGAGGAGAGGAAAGAAAGGGGAAAAAAAGAAAAGAAAGAAAAGGAAAAAAGAAGAAAAAAGAGTGAAAGGGAAACAAAAGAAACGGGGGTAAAAGAGAGGAGAGAGAGGGGAGGTAAGGGTCTGAGAGAGGAGGAGTGGGAGTAAAAGAGAGAAGGGGGTTGTTGGGTGGAGTCGTCTGGTCAAGGGAGCAAGAAAGACACGGGTAAATATGTTGCTGTGTCGGGTCAGCTGTGTCGGTATTCTTGCTCGATCCTCGTGTACTAATGCAGACGTTTGAAATCGGTGAGATGTATATTGTCGGTCGGCCGACAAGTTTTTTCCCCTACGAACTGTGACTTCTTATCCGCTGTGACGACTTCGAGGGTGACTACAACTACAATACTTGTATTTTCTCGAAGTTTCACTTTCCTATAATATCAGCTAAAGAAATCAGAGGTTTAAAATTTTCGGGGAAACTAAATTCAAACAAGGTTTAAGAGTCAACAACGGTACGACGAATCTCCCGAATCGAGGGGGAGAAACTGAATTCAGACAATGATTAAGAGTAGAGAACAGTACACCGAATTGTCTGCTTTTTCTCATAATTTAATGAAACGTCAAAGCTTTCGTGCTTCGCGCGGGAGGGGGGGGACTTTATTCAGCCAAGGATTACCAGTCGAAAACAGTACAATTAATCGTCTTCTTTTCCTAATAATTTAAGGAAACGTCTAAGCTTCCGCGCTTTGCGCGGAAGGCCCATCACCACACCCCCTAATGAGCGCGCTTTTAAGTGATTCTCTTGCTCACTACCGCCCCTCCCTAAAATAAGTTCCTAGCTCCGCGCCTGCATTAAAGTATATAGCTATGATGCTGACTAAATTGAAGAAATAATTCAAATATTTATGTCGTCGAGGAAAATGACCATTTTGCGCATATGCAAGAACTATAGATAGTCCATAGGAAAAACAATTTAGCCTTCGGCCCCAGGTTTATAGGGTTGAGTTTGTAAATATTGGACATTTAATTTTGTCGGTAATTGGTGGCTAGTTTTGTCGGTAATCGTTGACCTCTACACCCTTTCTACACATTTCTAGCGACGCCCCTGCGTGGATATAAGCTGTTCTTGTATGCTTCGGTCCTGGCAGAGTAGTTGGTGTACTGGTTTGGTCTGTGACTGCGGGTGACTGGTCTGTTGGGGTTGTTGGCGACTGGGATAAACTTCTCTGGGATGGTAATCGGCAGATCATGAGAGTGGATCTTAAATATATTTGTGTTAAATGTTGCAATTGACCTTTTTCGGCAGACACTGAAAGTCAGCCATGCTGGAAGTCAGCCATTTTGAATATTTTAAAAGGCAGGTAGCCATCTTGAATTCTAATGTAAACAGAATGCATTAACTGTTTCTTTTATAACCATATTTCATAAGTCAGAAATAATTTGAAATGTTATTAGCATTGTTTACAAAGACTGGTGTGAGATACTGGAAAGGAAAAAAATAGTTTTCTAAAATTTGGTTTATTCAAGATGGGTCGGGATTTTTCTGTGTGGCACCGCCTATTGTGGGAAATTGCTTACATTCTAAGAACATTTGTAAGTGTGTTGTTTGTATCAAACTAATATGATAGGATACCATGTTTATTTTTGCTTATTAATTATACTACATCCGTTTAGGGTGGTTTTTCAACCACACTCCGATGACACTTAGAAAAATCCGGACCCATCTTGAATGAACTGGATTTTAGATATCTAGTTTTTTTCATTTGAGTCGGTGGCAGACTGGTGACAGACAGGCTACGAATAATCCGGATAACTAAAATTCGGATTTTTGATGGGCCATTGCGCATGCGCCGTTTAAGAAGATAAGCATTGTGACATCACACGTTCAATCAAAAGTAATCGCGCAGGTTATATAGGCGCGTTTAAAACCATATGCCAGCCAATCACCAAGTCAAACGTTGACCTTACACTGACCTTAAGTGTCAGACAGAAAAATCCCTTCAAAAATCCCTTCAAAAATCTTTTCAAGGGTGAAATATATTGCTTTGTTAGAGGATTTTTGAAGGGTTTTTTGAAGGGTTTTCTAAGGGATAACTTATTGATGACAGACAGCCATTTAAGAGGATAACTAAAATCCGGATTTTTGGCCTCTGTATGTCACCGCCTACTGTATGTTTATCTTTGCCAGAAAAGGATTGAAATTTTAGATCAGTTGAGAATCGCAGACATAAAGCACTGTATGGTGCTCGCTCAAATAACATTTTAACAAGTAAACCAATGGGTATTGCAGCAAAATGTTATTATTTTCCCGGTAACCGGAATTTTTAGGGATCTCACGTTTAGACTATATTTTGGTTTTGGCATTTTTCATTTCTTTACGGAAATGGCTGGAATCACGACTCCAATTTCGACCAATCAGAAGGCTAGATTTCTTAAATGAGGTTTTAAAAAAATATAAGAATACATATTTTGTCTAATATATATGTTTTTTTTAATAAATATTTCGATCAAGGCACAGTACCATAAGATTACAATCAGGGGAGGGGTGTAGGATTGGGAAGCTAGGAAGAGACACTTTTTGTTGAGGGGGGGGGGGGTAGATCTAGTCGAGCTATATCCGAACTACGCTGAATCGGGACATGGATCACATGATTCAACACCAAGTCATAAATACCCATTATAAGGTCAAAGCCACTGGCAATGCCACGTCTGGAAAAGGGGACACAGGTTGTAAAAATCTACATGGATTAACTTCAAATTCCTCATTAAAATTCCACGATGATCTTCCTAAATCACTCATTAATTGTTTTCCTTTTAATTAGAATGTACGATATACACAGCAATGTTCAAGGTACAGGATTTAATCAGAAACATTTATCTTCCGTGTCTGTCTCTAGATTGTCCTAAGAATAACCATGGGATACTCCTTGAATAAGATGCTCACTTTACTTCTGGTTGTATTGTGGGGACTAACGACATATTACATTTCCAGCATCGGCGAAGATGGCGTTCGAAGTAGAGTCCGACACTTGGGAGATAGGCTGACTCCGTTTAAAATTGAACCCGACCACCAGATTATAACACGACACACAACAGCAAAGCCTATAGAGACAGGTAATTCAATCAGGTATTCGAATAGATAATAAAATAGGTTTGTTAGTACTGTTAATCAATTGTTTTTCCGTTAAAATTGCAAGACCAGACAAACGAATAGACAAAACTTATAACCATACAAACTTTGAGATTTATAATGGGAAAAAGACAGTAGTTGAAATTTTCTAATGCTACAAGCACTGAGTGTAATATGAAACATTCCTTGTACACTCTAGCTTTAAATCTACGTGTATGAATATCGCCTTTTAATTCGGACTGAGATAACAACATTGTAACGCGAATCAATGACAAGTGAGTATAGGCACAATATCGTAATTAACGTGGACAATGGTGGACGTAGGAGAAAGAATTTGCATCAAATTTCATCAAATTAGTTAGCGGTCAACCTTTATATTGACCCGGCTAAAACACTTGTTGTGTAAAAGGGCATCAACTCATTTGGGATAGTATACAATTATGTAATATCCATCACATTATCGGATCATTTCTTTTCTATGTGTGGTACGACAACATATATTATATGTTTAATCAAGAAAAAGTGTTTCAATAAACAGCTTTATGGTGTTTTAAAAACTTTGAAATATGATTAGTTTTGATAACCCCATATACTAAGTTTCATTCTTTTCATCGTGCCATACATTATGTGTGTAATATCCAACTTTCAAATGTATATCAAACAGGTTTGTAACTTCAAATTCATTGAAAATGATATCAATTGAAAGGTCTTTTTCTCAGATGATACCTATTTGTCAAAAAAAATTAAAATCATGATTTTGGACATTCTTTCAAATTTGAACAAAGAAATGCGTGTTGCACCCTTTCCCATTTTTATTCTTTAGTATTTACGCACGGGTTTTCGCATGAATGCCATGCATTCCCCCAATATGCCGTCAAAAGTATTACAAAATTGCGTCTTAGCTGGTCTACTATACTGGGTTTCAGCACAATCATAACATGTATTGGCTACGGCGTCCTTTTTCAGAACGCTTTTCGCCCCCTTTCCGTTCCTTTTTTACTTGAAATTTCGCAACCATATTTGGGTAACCAAACGCAGGGCATCTCGAAGCTGGATTTTTTTGAAAATCCGTCAAGGGGGAGGGGCATTTTAGACGCCATTTTATATTCTGCATGATTATCTGAGTATGGAAAGCCATTTGGGTCACAGCACGCGTCATAATGTGTGATCCATTCCTTCCTTTCCTTTTCCTTTCTTCTATCCCGATTCACGTCCTGCTGACCCCCTAACCCACTATCATAGATGCTACAGACTTCTAATACATTCCTCTAATTCGTAAAAGAGACGCTCTTTCGTCTGTCTCGTAGGAAACATGGGCGTCAAAGCATGCATATCTTTCTAATACGATTGCAGTTCTAGTTTTTATCTTGATATCATTCAATATAAAAACAATACAACTATTTCTTCAAATTACATTTCTTTTTCATCGTAACATTATTCAAAATCCTTAATTCATGAATAATCCAGAAATTGCGATCGAAATTTGTTTTGGAATGAAAATCAGTTAACTGGTTCGTAAAGTAAGTTTTTTTGGTTAATCGTAATGTTTTAGTTTAAATATTTGATCTTGGAGGTCTATACACAATACCATGATTATATTCTTATTATCCGGAACATTGATTTCGATAAAAAGATACTCTAGTGTTTCGTCCATTGCATTATTTCGAAGCAACCCCATATACCCCAATTAGACATGTTCTTTCTAACCGACTGTACCTACCCTAAATATACGACATAAAAAAGAAAAAGGCTCTTTCTCATACTTTGCAATACAACTGTACAACTCACTTTCAATGTTCATTCAAACATCTCCTTCCTACAAAGTTTTAAAACCAGCCTAAGACTTTTCCCATCCATCTCTTGATTTTATTATATGTAACTTATAACCATTTAACGAATTTTACTCTAATGTCTTTCGTTTTTCTTTTCCTTTTGCTTTGTATAAATCACCACACATCTTTGGTTTGTGTTGGCCAGGAGGGATTGACATTTCTACCTGGTCGCTGACAGGTGGTTATCTCATCAAACATAAGAAAAGGGGTACCATGGGGGACCGACGGGTACCGCTTAGGCATTGTTTACTATACAGAGGGTGCGAGTAGCTACAAGTAGTGTAGTCCCGCTTTAAAGCTGTTATTATCGTTACCATGTAGTTTTTATATTTAATATTTTATAATGTATTATTTTGTTCATGGCAGGGCTGCCTAGTAAACCAGGCCTTCTGTGGCACTGCTTTTGAAAGAAAACAAAATAAATTAATAAATATATCAATATGCATATAATTGTCTTTTTATGCAAAGTATCGTTTCACACGGGCAGGTTTGGTTTTCTGCAATGACACACGACTGATGCCAGAAGGGACCTTCCCACCTATAGCGCTGGCTAGCTTTCCCGGGTCGGGTAATACGTGGGTCAGACATCTCATAGAGACTGCAACTGGTTATGCCACAGGAAGTGTGTATACGAGCACAATACTTAGTAGCCGAGGTACGAATAACTACTACTTACCCACCCCCCCCCCCCCCCCCCCCCCCCAATCAGCCCATAGGCCTGTTGTCATCAGCTCGAGTTTGCCAAACAACCTGCCATGTTCAGACCCGGGATATTATCACGAAGCTCGGAATTGCGTCTTCACCAGACCGATACGCTCATCACAATTAGCTCGGACGGGCGCAAATTACTATATAGCCCGCTATTTCCCAAATACCGGGATATTTTGGAAACAAGACCAAGATTTTCTCGACCAAATATCCCGCCAATTGCAATTGCGGACTGATGAAGACGCAAATTAACTAGCTAATTTGCGATCGGAATAGTTCAAATGGTTTATTTGGCAAACTCAAGCTGAAGAAGACAGACCTCATGCGAACTTTTCAGTCTCGTAGGCCTCTTTCTTGTTTCAGAGAGTTCACGAGACCCTCGGCCCATAAGAACAGTGGTGTGATGATCCCCGAAATTGTGAGAAATGAACTATTTATACGCTCAATCCAATGTGATTCAGGGAGACCCATATTCAAAGCCTAATATTTTATATACAAACCAATATTGTCTTCTTTAATTTATGAGGTTGACCATTTTTTTATTTTATAACGGACGGTTCTAAATAGCGCGTTTGCCCACTAAAAAACTGGATTTTAGTTATCCAGATTTTAGATATCCTCTTAATTAGCTGTCCGTCATTAATTACCCCTTCAAAAATCCCTTCAAAAATCCTCTAACAAAGCAAGATAATTCTCCCTTGAAAGGATTTTTCAAGGGATTTTTCTGTCTGACACCAATTTTGAAATAGTCCCCTTACTTTAAGATCAGTGTAAGGTAAACGTTTGACTTAATAGGCGGTGTCACACAGAGGCCAAATATCCGGATTTTAGTTATCCGGATTTGAATTATCCTCTTAATTAGCTGTCTGTCATCAATTATCCCTTCATAAATCCCTTAAAAAATCCTCTAACAAATCAAGATAATTCCCCCTTGAAAGGATTTTTCAAAGGATTTTCTGTCTGACACCAATTTTGAAATAGTCCCCTTACTTTAAGATCAGTGTAAGGTCAACGTTTGACTTAATAGGCGGTGTCACACAGAGGCCAAAAATCCGGGGTGGTGCTTCTGAAGGATCATTGAAAAATCGGGCGCGGTGTTAAGCAAAGGGTAAACATTAATCCTAGGCACAATTGATTAGATCATTAGACGCTACATGATCATGTATGTGTATTGCCATTAGCTACGTATTTGGTTACAAATAAACAACAAACAATTAAAAAATACGTAGCAGTTGGATTTCATCTTTTGACGTTTTATTTATAGCTGTCAAATCCAAATTGTACATGAGCATAAAATCGCAAAAATCGCTCGACAATCCCTGAAGTACTTTTGTGTCGTGTACAAACTTGCAAATCTTGCCCTTTTCTTAAATTTTGTTCCAACTGTTTCAAATGATTACAGGCGGTGTCACACAGAGGCCAAAAATCCGGATTTTAGTTATCCGGATTTGAATTATCCTCTTTATTAGCTGTCTGTCATCAATTATCCTTTCAAAAATCAAAATTCACCAATGTTGAAATAATCCCCTTTAAAGGTCAGTGTAAGGTCAACATTTGGCTTCATGGTTAACGCGCTATCATAACCCGCGCACAATTATATTAGCGCGCATTTAATGAGACGCGTTAATTGCGCATTAATTTTGATTGAACGTGTGATGTCACAATGCTTATCTACCTAAACGACGCTTTCGCAATGGCCAATCGTAGCCTGTCTGTCACTAGTCTGTCACCGACGTAAATGAAAAAGAAAACTAGATGTTGTATTGCCATTTAGGTGCCAAATCATGGGTCGGTCTGATTTTTTTCTTCTTTTTTTTCTCTCTCTCTCTTTGGGCTGATATTTCTCAGTTTTTGATAACTTTGAAACATTTTTCAAAAGTGAAACATTTTTTAAAAGTGAAACATTGATGGATTATTTTATATGGGGACCTTGCTCTTACAAACCCAGCTTTTCTAAGGTCTCCACTTTCTTTCATTTAGATTATATATCGACTTAAGATTGCACTTAAATTGTTTTTTCTTATGCTGTTTTTTGTTCTATTATTATATGTAAAAATGTTGTGAAAGAAAGAAAGAAATAAAATGAACCTTGAACCTTAAACCTTTATAATGATTTAATATTTTGGGGTAGGTCGCAAAGAGCAATAGAACGTCTTTTTATGTTAGGCCTTATGTAAATGGGGGTATATCCCTTGCCAGAGGTTAGACAGGGAGGGGGTGTGATGGTAAACACATTATCGATATCATCGACTAGTTTTATTATGGCCAAGACCCGAACAAAAAAGTCCCACGATGCATATGAACAAATTTCGGGCATCTGCTAAACGCGGACTCGCTCCGCGGTCTACAACACGTGAAATCTTCTTTGAAAATGCGCAAAGTGTGCAAAGAAATGCTCCTACAATGAAAAGAAACTTTGATTTCACATCAGCTCGGGTGGAAATCACATATTCAATTACTGTTCTTTCCATTGAAACCAATTTCGAAGTGATTTGTTCACTGGAAATTAGGGCCTTTTCGTCTTCAAAAGGGGACAACAATCATTTACTTTGTGAATTCTCTATGGAGGTCACGTGAAAATTCGCTTTTTTCACTGGGGTTGTGTACTTCAAGGAGCTAATGCTCGTAACTGCGACTTGTTTTTGGGCCAGCTCGGGTGCCAAAACAGAGGATATGTAATCCCCTACCGTCTGATGTAACACATAATTTGATTGGTTGTCGAGAAATTAGGGCCAATTTCAATCCAATAAAAAGAAGCTTTCTGAAATTTACGCATCGACCTCCGTAATTTATGCATTGTGCGTAAGCGAAGTTTTTACACAGCGGACAATGAGGCTTACACACCGTGCTCGCAGCCGTGCGTATTTCGACGGTGTCTGGTCAGGTCGCCCCCAAGCCGGTCGCCTCCTATACGCAGTCGCCTCCTATACGCAGTCGCCTCCTAACGTAGTCGCCCCCAAATTGTGTGGTCGAGTCGCCTCCTATACACAGTCGCCTCCTATACACAGTCGCCCCCTGTATACACAGTCGCCCCCTACGTACAAAGGCAGTACGCTAGCGCAGCGGTCAGAAGCAGGTCATTTAATATAATGATGTCCACCTTCTTCTAGATAACTATTTTGTGCTAAAGTATAATGTGATAAACGTTTCATTTTATTTTGATGCAACAGAGATTTACATTCAAAGGTTTTACTTTTTATAATTGTACAGTAATATTCTTCTCATTTCTACATTATCAGCCACTGGTTCTCTGTTTCATTCCCTAAACTAAATAAAAGGTATATGTGAGAGGGGGGTAGCCTGTATAGACCGTACTGTATTCATTGTTATGATATTTGTCTCTCCTCCTCCAATCACTCCCTTCCGGCTCTGATTTTGTTCTTTAGTTTGTCTCTTTTGGTGTGATTATATCTTTTCGCTAAAGTATAATGTCCGACGTATACCATCAGGAATATGTTATAATAATTAATCTCAAGGAAGGGATGATGCCGGGATACAAGCAAATGGCGGAATAGACAACATTATGGAAGATGAAGATGGACATAGAGAGAGAGAGAGGGAGAGAGAGAGGGGGTGGCGGGAGATAGAAAGTTGGACGTAGTCTGTACTGTATTTATTATTATGATAATTGTCTCACCGACTCCCCCCCCCCCCCCCCCCCCAGCTCATATTTTTTCTTTAGTTTTTCTCTTTTTTGTTTGTTTATATCGTTTGGCTTAAGTATAATATCCGACGTATATACCGTCAATATAGCATAATAATTTTTTATTTTTATTTATCAGTTTGAATTAACAGAAATTTACAGTAATATTCTTCTCATTTCGATATTATCAGCCCCTCGTTCTCTATTTCGTTCCCTAAACTAGATATAAGGTATAACATGTGAGAGGGGGGAGGGATAGAAAGTTGGACGTAGCCTGTATACTGTATTCATTGTTATGATATTTGTCTCTCCTCCTCCAATCACTCCCTTCCGGCTCTGATTTTGTTCTTTAGTTTTTTCTCTTTTGGTGTGATTATATCTTTTCGCTAAAGTATAATGTCCGACGTATACTATCAGGAATATGTTATAATAATTAATCTCAAGGAAGGGATGATGCCGGGATACAAGCAAATGGCGGAATAGACAATATTATGGAAGATGAAGATGGACATAGACAGAGAGAGGGAGAGAGGGGGGAGAGTGGGTTGGCGTAGTCTGTACTGTATTTATTATTATGATATTTTTCTCTTAATCCTTGTCTGAATTCAGTTTTCCCTTACCGCGCTGACGTTTCATTAAATTATTAGAGAATGGTTTTCAACTCTTAATCCTTGTCTGAATTAAGTCCCCCCCCCCTTCCGCATGAAGCGCGGAAGCTTTGACGTTTCATTAAATTATTAGAGAAAGAACAAAAAAGACGATTCGTTGTACCGACTCTTCATCATTGTTTGAATTATCAAAAATGTTTCTTTGTTATTATTATTGTTTCAGCGTTATCCTCCGCGCGCTTTATAATAATGAATGACAAAAACGCCGCGACATAGTGATAAGGTATGTATTTGGAAGAATAATTGCTTTTTATTTGTGCACAGATTAAAAGAAAAGTGACATCTATACACAAAATAAACACAAATTATTATACAGGTTAAGGTTGGAACCTACTAGTGCTTTCGAATACTTGAAAAGATGAGCAGATGTTCATGTTGGTCACGCATGGTCGTCCCTTACAATATTCATTAAACAAAATCACGCACTTATATATATATATATATATATAATGAATTGAGAGTAAAATTAGATAACGTTTCGTTCATTTGGGTTTACCGCCGAAAGCTTTTATTTCGATCTATTTGCTTCATAATAAACTTATATAAGTCATATCAATTATAGCTCACTTTTAATTCAATGTAGAGACATTCTATTCTATTTCTATTTTTAAACTTTTACAACTATCTCATGACGACACGTTCTAGTATGGGTCTTGTAATTAGTGAACACAAACTATATGGGATTAAAAAGGGATCTGAAAATGCTCTAATTTGCTTGCGTGTACAAATTATACTTGAGAAAAGCTAAGAAAGCCAATCTATTAAATCCTTATCTCTATAGCCTGTGGATTTAAAGTTCCGTCACTAAGCCAGCCAGAACGATTTATTTATTTATTTATTTAAAATGGTTTATTTCATTAAAAAACATTCGCGGCCCGAGAGCCGAATCAGTTTCTTTTACAAAGTATACATCAGTGACAAAGTAAAATTACACATAAAAATTATGCATGGTAGCATAATGGTAGTAAAATTGCAATTCTTTTGTACATAATTGTGCTTCAACGACCTTGGCAAATTGCTTGGTACACTCTGAAAACTGAAATGTTAAATCACCATTTAAAAGGGCCGAGGAGTGACCACTCTTTCAAAATGGTAGATTAACACTTTGAACATGCATGCTGGATCCAACACTATAAAGGTCGAATCTAGCAGGTTAAAAGAAACAATCTGACATTTTAAAAGAGTGGTCACTCCTCGGCCCTTTTAAATTTACATTTAACATTTCAGTTTTTAGAGTGTACATATACAGAAATCTGAATTGTATTACCATATTTGCAATTAAATTATATACTGAACTTATACAATATATGAATAGTGATACACTTTTGATATTCAAAAGAATATGTTTTAGTTGGAAAATGCATAGCCAGATGGGTATGATTACTATGGTTATGGTGTTTTCTTCAATAACAGAAACAAAGACAACAACAGAAACCAAATCCAGGAATTATAAAATCGAATAGATGCTACAATGATTTAAACAAATTATACATTGTAGGCAAAATGCAGAACATTTTGTATTTGGGCCAATTTACTAAAAGGTATACATGTAGAATATGATATTGCATACAAATAAGATAAGTTTCGCATAAAAAACATGGGTAAAAGTTTGCCATTGTAATATTCGATATAGTGTGCATCATCTTGGGAATTATTAAAAAGTCAAACAGGATTTTATACAATTAAAACTGATTTAGTTTGAAAAAAAGTAAAATTCTATATTCTAACCCTATAGTAACATTATTAAAAAATGCATTCACATGTCACCCTTTCATTTAAGAACTTATACCAGAGAAAGTGAGAGAGAGAGAGAGAGAGAGAGAAAGAAGGAGAGTGAGAATAGGGAGAGAGAGGGGGTGGGAGAGAGATAGGGAGAGATAGAGGGAGAGAGAGAGGAGAGAGAGAGAGAGAAAGAGAGAGAGGGGGGGGGGGACAAAGAGTGAGAGTAACAAGACAGTGCGCTAGCCAGAAAGCCATGAAGAGGGTCTCCCCGCTCCGCAGCACAGCACTGACAGAGAGGAGACAATAATATTGAGAGAGTGATCGATGTGTTAGTACGTAAGCTGGTGGAAACTTAGATGCAAATATCCTCGAAAATATGCGTTACAATGGAAAACTCGAGGAAAATTTTCAATATTTAGTAATATCATAGAACTGAGATGCCAGGAACTAAAAATGGCTTGACTTTGAACTTGTAAAAGACATCAAATTAAAACAACAAATTAGGGGGCGAGCTGACCAAAATACTGGGGGCGAGCTGACCAAGAATCCCAAAGTCGGCAAACAAAATCGGGAGGCGACATGACCAATTGAGGGCGACTTTGTAAGGGGGCGGGCTGACATTAGGCGAGCTGACACGGAACCGCACCATTTCGACCACCACATTTGACTCAGCTCCGCGGCGATGGAAAAGACACATTTTATGTTGATTTCAGCAATTTACTGAAGGGAATTTAGATATTATGGACGATCTTTTACAAAAAAGGTGTGTAGGGATTAGATTATATCTTTCACGAGACACTGAATTCTTTAGTTTTCCTGAAATTTAGCAAATTAATGGCACTCTGAACTCGCTTTATGAGCAGATCTAAATATTCATGGTCGATCTGCTAGTAAAGGAATCGCGTATTCATATTGCAGGGTGATCCCGCCCATCTTAGTCGGAGGGATTACAATGGACTTATGCATTGTGATGTGCATCTGCATCTACTAGACTAACATATATAATTTCCTGATTTGTTTTCTTTTTTTCGGGAGAAGAAGAGGGAAGAGAGAGACGGAGCATGGACATGGACAGAGAGAGAGAGTTGACAAGTCACGCTCGCACAGCGGTGTTGACATTCACACTCTCACCAGTTTTCTACGATAAACCCCTATTTCATAAAAATCGACGAGTCCGGCACCTTGGTGTTACGCTCTAGTGCACTCGATTGTTAGTCGTCTGTGTGGGAGGTACACAAAATGCCTCATTGATCTTTTGGCCGAATGTGGGTCAAATTTGTTCATATGAAAATAATCTAACTTTACTGCAAAAAAAATCAATGAAGACCACAGATTATTATTAATTTTTCTTAACCGAATCAACCAAATGTGGATGTTCAAAGTATGGCATCGGTCAAATTATTTTTCAGGTAAAAAAAAGTGTAGTGAGCAAAGAATAATTGAGGAAATTGAGACACCTCATTTGGGCAATAAAAGAGTTGAGTATTTTAGTAAATATGATTTTAAATTCCTGCAGGTCTACGCCATATTTGCCATCCAAAAAAGCATTCTTCTGGAGGTTTTTTTTTTAAAAGCCTATATTCTCTTGAAATGCGATTCCGTTACTAGACTACTACTTAATAGTTTATGAAAATGAATGCTTTGCATTAATTTCGCACATTTTTACCAATAATTTTTAACCAATATTCACTACAGGTTTTATAGGCGAATTGCAACCAGCCCTTTCAGGCAGGGTTCTGACAATCAAGACACACATTTTCAATAAGGATACGGTCGGTGCTATTTTGCTTGTACGCAATCCATATCGAGCATTGGTGTCTGAGTATAACAGGGGGAAGGCTGGCAAGACGGGACATGCCCATGAAGAAACATTCAACACAAAAGGTAATTCATCTACTACTGTATTCCGTGGGCCAGAGGGGGCTACCGTGCACCCCCCCCCCCCCCCTATGATCCTACTTTTTGGGTGTCATGTTGCTCATTGGGATCCATTTTATCAGAAAAAAAATTTTCCCAAGAAAAAAACTAATTTGGACAATGTTTTTTTTGCCCCTTATTTGAAGATATGTGAAAATGTCAGTTTTTCGTCAGTTTTTTTTTTGTCAGTTTCACTATGAACATGACAGACAATGAAAGCGGACAAAATATACAGTTCCTCGGGTAGACAAATGAACATCCCTTCACTGCTATTATGTAAAAATGTGTAGAACAGGTGAATATGCATGTCACACCTGTTCTACACATGTTTACATAATAGCAGTGAAGGGATGGGCTTTCATCGAAAGGGTGCGGTGCGGTGCGGCGCGGTGTGGTGTGCTCAACGCACCCATTCGATAAAAGAGGGGGGCCTTTTCTCGAAAGGGTGCGTTGAGAGCGGAGTACCGTTTTAACACACCCTTTCGATGAAAGCGGGGGGGCTTTTCTCGAAAGGGTGCGTCGACTAGTCTTTCGCATCAGTCGTTTAAAATGAGGATCTCGGACAGAAGGTAATAGTTGCCAATTTAAGTATATCGAAAATGTATTAAATAAAATGGAATGGTCTTGATTACAGAGTGGTCTCTTTGATGGGGGAGACAGAGAGAAGGGAAAAAGGGAAAGGGAAAGGGAAGATAAAAGGAAAGAAAGAAGAATAGAAGAGAAGAGGGAAACGGGGGGCGAAGGACTCTTGCCCCCCCCCCCCCGCCAAAAAATAAATAAGAGAGAGAGAAGGGAAAGGGAAAGGGAAAGAGAAGATAAAAGGAAAGGAAAAAGAGGGAAATGGGGGCGAAGGGCTCTTGCCCCCCCCCCCCCGCCAAAAAATAAAAGAGAGAGAGAGAGAGAGAAGGGAAAGGGAATGGGAAAGAGGAAAGGAATATAAAAGGAAAAAAAGAAGAAGAAGAGATCCTCATTTTAAACGACTGATGCGAAAGACTAGTCGACGCACCCTTTCGAGAAAAGCCCCCCCGCTTTCATCGAAAGGGTGTGTTAAAACGGTACTCCGCTCTCAACGCACCCTTTCGAGAAAAGGCCCCCCCCCCCCTCTTTTATCGAATGGGTGCGTTGAGCACACCACACCGCGCCGCACCGCACCGCACCCTTTCGATGAAAGCCGAAGGGATGTCCCTTTGTCTACTTGAGGAACTGTATATTTTGTCCGCTTTCATTGTCTGTCATGTTCATAGTGTTTTTTTCAACCAATACATTTCAAGCTTGAGTGGTTCTGGCTCTGTCGACACAGCCAATGGGATTATGCTGCAGGAAATTTCTAACAATGAGACAGTTGAATCTTAAAATAGCACAGTACCCTCAGTAGCACGTTCATGAACCAAAGAACGTTCCTTGGCTATTAAATATGAAGGTCCTCTTCCACCTTGCTATTTCAACCGATATAAAGCATTCAAACAATGTGCCAGAAATGATGTTGCGTGGATGCTTGTCCAAAAAAGTAGTGGAGAGACAGGTCAAGAGCTTCCAGGTTGGGCTGGATTTGTCTCAGTAACATGGGAGGTGCCTTCAAATGTGACGACCATAGATTACTATCCTGTAATAAAATATCCCATAACAGAATTTGATACAATCCGAGAGTGCATGAGAGCTGCAGAAGAAGCAGGCCGCGAGGTTGGCTAAGACTATGTCACAACAATATTTGACTTGGGCGTGTGCATGAAGGTATATCCTCTCATTTGGAGTCATCCATAAAAGTGCAAGAAACACATTGTGTTGATTGGCACTTTCCATTTGATTTGGGCATACTCCAAAATACCTGATATTTCATCATCTACAATTTAATCTACATATGCTGGTAAATGCTTTCTTGTGGGCTACTTCAATTTTTCTCTGTTTAGCGACTACGTCGTACTTGCTACTTCTCAATTTATCTGGATCTTAGTTCGTCACATATTTCTTCCGACATCTCTTGTGATATCTTGCTTCTGCAGCAAACAAATCAACTTCCAGCATTCTCAAAGGTACATGTAGGTCTTTATTACCAACTCTCTTCGGAACATCTACAACATTTTGCTACCCACCAAAATCTAACATTGATGTACTTTCTGTTGTCCAAGAGCTTTTCAATTTGATTGATTTTGGGCCTTCTTTTTTTACAAAAGATACAATCAGGTTTGAAGATGACTCCATCAATTGACGATCTGGGTGGACGGGATGTTGAAGGTTCTGTGGCATCAGATAAGATCTCTGACAGTCGATTGAGATTCTTGGTAAAAAGTTGCTAGCACTCCCGATGATAACCGGGCACATTTGAAATGTCTTCAAGAACGAGGATGCATGCTTCTTCAATTGCTCATTGTGTCAAGTTAGTTGAAATTCGTGAAATTGTACCTCGTATACGTTTGTTCATTCATTTGTATAAACAAAAAACCTATATTATAGCATATAATGGGATTAATGACCAACTGCTGAATAAGTTGGCTTTGTCTGATCCCCCCCCCCCCTGTTCAGGCTGATACTACAAAAGGAAACAATGTTGTATGTGGTAATATACTGTAGTTGATTTAGTTTGATGTTAACAGGCTAGCCCAAATAGTAATTAAAATACTGCTTGTTGAGCTTTTGTTTTTTTAAACAGGAACTTTAATTGAATGAACATTATATAGAACAAAATTTGCGGGAAACATCACATACCACATCAATGAATAATTTTACACCAAATTAGGGGGCTGGGAAACTTATTTCATGATAATAGCAGACAAAATACAACTTTTAGGTTATTTTGACAGGTTTTGAGACAGGAATTTGCATATTAAAATATATGCAAATTTATGAAGTCATTAATAGTTGAAGACAATAAAATATATTAAAATAATTGTGTCTACCTATTGTTGTATGATTTACAAAGATTGTTTGTTTATTTGGTGGAGATTAGACTTATATCTGCTGAGAAACAGGGTAAAATGTAAGCACATAATTCACAAACCCTAAGAAACTGTACAATTCACGAATAATTGATTTGTTTATATACAAAATAAGGGGAAAAAACAATATCTACATGAGTTGACTAAATTTATTTTGCGGGAAACATCAGATACCATATCAATGAATAATTTTACACAAAATTAGGGGGTTAAAAAAACTTATTTCATGATAATAGCAGACAAAATACAACTTTCAGGTGATTTTGACTGGTTTTTTAAACAGATATTTGCATATTAAGCAAATAATTCACAAACCCTAAGAAAGTGTGCAAAACACGAAAAACACATTTTTACATATCTTCAAATAAGGGGCAAAAAAACATTGTCCAAATGAGTTTTTTTCTTGGGAACATCTTTTTTCTGATAAAATGGATCCCAATGAACAAAATGACACCCAAGAAGTAGGATCATAGGGGGTGCACGGTAGCCCCCTCTGGCCCCCGGACTACTACTCATACTACTACCACTACTACTTCTTCTTACTACTGAAACTACTACTATTTCTACTATACGACAAAAGTAACAACTACTTTTAAGCAACTCTTTCCCAGATCCTTATCAAATGATTGGTCATGCGCGGTCACGTGTGATTCATTTACTGATACAATTGCACGTTTTTTTTTCATGAAAAGGCGTGCAATAGTTTCCAGTACTACTGCACGCCTTTTTTCTATTGCGTCTACATGATGCGCAGTATAAAACAAATGATGCATGTTTTCGTTCGTTCATTAGGGACATTTAGATTTGCACGTCGACAGCTTTGACTGCAACGTGTGACGTCATTTTAAGGCACTGCACATGCGTCACGTCGTCTCAGTCGGCGATCGAGAATGCGTCAACCCTCATTTTCCTAAATCTAGTACGGTAATAGTATATGCCGCGTGCGCATAAAATATACAATTCCTTAGGTAGACAAAGGAACATCCCTTCCCTGCTATTATGTAAAAATGTGTAGAACAGGTGTCACATGCATATTCACCTGTTCTACACATTTTTATATATTAGTGAAGGGATGTTCTTTTGTCTACCACAGCAATTGTTGAGGGTAGAATGAGGAACTGTATATGTTGTCCTCTTTCTTTGTCCGTCATGTTCATAGTGTTACTTCCTGCATGCTTGTATATCGTCGAGTGCAATCTAAAAGATTTCTAATTGTAGTCAACATGGGCAGTTGAGTACGTCCGTCGACACACATGATCAGTCGGCGTTCGTCGTGTTCTCGTCCACTCAATCTAAATGTCCCTATTATATACGATCTAACGCCCTCGTTGATGGTGTGTGTATAGACCAGTTCACGGTTAGCTCCTTACTGCAATGACCCCGAATATCCACAGATCTTCAAAACATGAAGAGGTCCCACTTTATACATTTTGAAATAATCACTCCTATAGCGATGGAGGTGCTTTTATAAAGAGCCTTTGTTCCCCCTTTTCAAAGAATACTTTCACCTGTGTACCATGGAGTGCACTAAATGTGCATGAATGAATAATGTTACATAACATTCATGAGCACGTATCCAGTATTTCGTCTCCGTGTATTTCAAAATTTGTTCTGCAATGACCTTTATCTGCTCATGCACAGACTGCAACCGTGAACTGGCTTATTGCACAGCTTTCGGGCGATGCCAAACTATCACTTCCTCGGCGATCTGACGCTACCTTTCCTCAGCTTCGCTTCGGAAAGATAGTTATACATCCAGATCGCCTCGGAAGTGATAGTTTGTCCCATCACCTTCACCAATGGTACTTATTTGCTTTATATTCTACATCGGAAACATTTCACTTCTTCCGTCATGTTAGAGGAACAAATCATCCATTAACAGCCAGCAAACGGTGTAGTACACGTACAGTGCATACAGTACTTACGTAGGCCCACGTACGTATACGCAACGTATACAAACTAGAATTTAATTCGTCACGAAGACGAATAAGGTGGTCTGTCGATGTCTTATGACAGATTTGAGAATGGGAGAAG